CTGGTAAAAAATGTCTTATCTTTAAAGCAAGATCATACAGCTGTCACTTATTTTATCAATTGAGGTAACCATAATGGTCAGAGGTCAACCTTCCTGGGAATGGTACAGTAAAAAGTTAGGCCCCCAATACAGTATGAACACAATTCCACACGCTCTCGTTCATGCTCTATCTGATCATTGAACTGAAGAAATAGCATGTGAGCGGCAAAACTACCAAACAATATGAGCACTTGAAGAGGCTGATCTCTGACTCTTACCTTATAGTTGTGGGAATAATCTTTTTTGTATCCCAAGGGCCTAAGAAATCTGTCTTATGTTTTGATCCACTGTTTTCTCTATAGGAAGAAAGGTCCCTCTTTTAGTTAGCACCCATCTAGGATGTTATTTTGTCCTGTGTATGGTTCATTTCACCCCTGGTTTTCATGTTTCATTTCCAAGTTTTAATCTGTTTACTTGTTCTGCAGAAAGGTTGGTTACTGGGGTTCACAGTTTTTGTCAATACTTTTAACAGACATTGTGTATTTCTGTCTTTCAGTTAATAATGGAAACTAAAGACCAGGCTGGTCTTTTAAAGTTTGCTGCCTTGTTCATTGGTACTCTTATCTCAATGTTCCAGGAACAAAGAAACTTGTTTGTCTTCATGTGCAACTGTAGTAAAAATTTTATCCTTGAAATTTCAAATTTAACTTGCACTCTTCAGCTTGTAATAATATTACATACTATATAACTGAGTCACAGGGGAAAGTGCTTTCTGACATTAAATAGATAACAGAACATTTTTAACCCTTTTCACCTTTTTATTCTCAAATTCAATTATTTAAGGCTTAAAGGAGTAGCAGGATTTCTTATTGTTTATTGTTTATTGTCTTATTGATTTTTGCCAAAACCTAGTACAATACTATCAATATCATAGTTACTCTTTAGTCTTGTAGATACAAATAAAGTAATACTATATAAATAGATAATAAACAACATTGAACATTGACCAAGCAAGAATTGATTAAAAATGTATGAATATCTACTTATTAATAAAACTGTGATAAAAAAATAGCAGGAGCTGATTATTACCAACTCAAAAACATTGGTTATTCTGAGCTTATATACACTATGCCAGGTTAAAATTATTTATAGATTTCAAATCCATTTAAAATATTTGAAATACTGCCTCATTTTACTGTCATTAGTTCTTTAATGCTATACCAAAATTATAATAAAAAGAAAGTAATTTCTAACATATTACATTTTAAAAACATACAAAAATTATAAAAAAGAAAAATAATTGCATTTATTAAAACAACATTTTGGATTCCATAACAATTTTCTAAGCATAATGAAGCTGTGTCAAAATAATCCCTTTTTTCATTAGCAGCCAAACCTTATTTTTGTATTTCTAGGCCTTTCTGTCCCACTATCACTCACCTTTGGTAACTTAAAAAATGTGATCATTCAAGTGAACTTTAGATGATGATTAAAAAAAACAGCAAGTGGAATAAAATCAAATTGAACACTACATGACTGGAAAACATCTGGAAAAAATGGATTAGCTTTTTTATTTTAGTATGATGTGAGCAAAAAACATTGTATTCATCATTCCTAACCAGAGGAACAGAAACTTGTCCTGAGCTTCTCTGCATCTATGAGGAAACATTTGTAACTATAATGTTGAAGAAACAGAAAAAAAGACATCACACACAATGGATCTCAGAAGGGCCCTGACAAGGCCTTCTTTTAAGTATACAGTCTGCTGTATTGTTTACTGAGCTGCCAACTTCAATCGAAAGCCTTCAGACACATATTGTAAAAGAATTAGGTTTGCAAGCACTAGACATGACAAGAAAGCACAGAATCTTAGGCTGTCCTAAAGGATTTTGCCACAGGCTGTCTCCAAATCGGCCTTGGGGCCTGTCCTGCAGCAAACAGATGGCTCCAGCTCTGCAATTAAAACCCAAACAAACACACACTGGACAGTGTTCGGCACATGTAGTATGGGTACAAATGCTCACTGCGTCACTACAGAATGGCGATAATTTAATGCTCTAAGTGTCATTTCTTGTGCAAAATAATGCAGCAGTATTCTCCCTATCTAAAAAATTCAATTTCCATAAAGTATCAAAAATAAAACACAATATGTCTCAATACGCTACAGTATAACCATTTCAGAAGTTCTTAGAGCAAATGTTTACAATAACTATACCTCACTTGGATCCACTAGGAGTTCTAATAATGGAATTAACATATAAAAAACAAATTATATTTGTTACTATGTTTCATTGAAACCACATATTAAACCCATTAGAATTAAGAAAAAATTGTAAAACATACAGAATCTTTACTTTCTGTGTAAGCATTGCTATCAAATTTGTAACTTTTTTGGAGTATTTTCTTATTTGGTGGGTAGCAATGACATGGCTTTTAGCACTGCTACCTTATAGTTCTTAGGTCCTCGGATTAATTCCAAACTTCTGTGTGAGGCTTACATGTTCTCCTGGATTAGTATTGGTTTTCTCTAGGTGCTTCTGTTCCAACCCACAATTCAAATACATGCTGCCTGGGCTAATTGGAATCTCTAAATGTTCCCCTGTACCGTATATGTTTGTGGGTGAATGCATGCGTGTCTTGTAATGAACTAGCATCCCTTCTAGGGTGTGATCCTGTCTTGTGCGCTGTATCTGCTCAATTAAGCTCCATCTTAGAAAGACCCTCCAGCACAAAATGTTTGCTGAAAATTTATGTATTTTTTATCCTAACACATTCTAATTCATATTTATATGAATATTATTTATATATTTGTATATATGTTATTTTCAAAGAGTACTTCTTTAAATATTTAGAATTTCTTTATAGGTCTACTGAAGAATCCAAATACTCTTGTATTATCATAATACTGTTATGTGACAGATTTATAATGTAATGTATTTAACAAATCACAATACATTACAAAATTCTAGAGCAAAGAATGACAATACCTTTTCATTATTAAATGAACAAATAAGAAATATAATTATTCCATAGTGTTAAAATGAAAATGCTACAAAATTAGAACTAAATTCTTTGAGCTTTAGCACAATTCAGGCAGCATTGATGTGCAGAATTGATCAGCCCCTTACAAACTGCTTTGGAATGCTCTTCCTGTGCAGCTGCTTGTGCAAGGTTGACTGGTTGCAGTTGTCTCCTGTTGGGCTCACAGATGTTCAACTGGACTCAGGTACAGAAATAAAGCTGGCCACGACAAAGCCTTGACATTTTTTGTTCTTTAAAAACATGTCATTGTGATGTTAGCTCTGTGTGGTCTTTCATTGTCCTGCTGGAAAACTGACATTTCCAGACTGTGGCTTGCAGGAATGGAAAAACCGTTGTCTGAAGGACATCACCAATTTATCACTAAGCAGTAAGGTTGTTCTTAATCTCTATCAGAGATGTTCTTGTGCTGAAGGAAGATTCATCACTTCTTCTCCACTTTCACTGTCCAGATGGGTGACTTGAACAATGCAACAGTCAACATAGTGCTTGCCACAATGTTTGCATGCAGATTTGTCTTACGTCAGGTCTGTCTAAAGCATAATGACATTTGTTGGTCAATAAAACACTCCATCACTCTCTTTGTGGCCATCTCAGATTTTCTCTGGACAACAATAGACAGTGATTTAATTGCTCAGCTGTTAACATGTTCCCCCTGGAACAGTTTTTGACCATAAAGATCATGTTGATCCCGACAGCGAGCCACAGTCATTGTGCTGATACAGTATGTGGATTGTTTTTCCTGGAATGTCTTATCGTGTAACCACTGTACTCTGAAAACAATTAGCATGTTGAATTAGACTTTACAGTCTTGAGAGAATGTGGTCATCCTATGGCCTGTATGTAGCCTGTTTCTTGATTTAGCTGAATGATTCAATTGGTTATTAAAGTAGAAAATCTCATTTTCTTGACAACTTCTCTCATAGAAAGGCATCCTCCAATCATTCAGATAGCAACCTGACAATTTTATTACTCAAGTGGGGCATAGTCATGTGTTTCACTCTACTTGCGTTAATTAAAATCATGTCTTTTAAATAGCCTTTTATAGAGATTCTTCCTGACCTCATTTTAGTATTTTTAATTATTTGAACTCAACTGAAATAATAAACACTCTAAACACTAAACACACCAGGCTATTTGTATTTTCATGAAATAAAATGATTTCTGAGTTGAGCATTTAGTGATATAAAAAATAACACGATGTAAGTATCTTCATGTACTGTATGTGCCCATTAAATTACTGATATTACTTTTTTGTATTTTCCTTTAAATATCAGTACATATCTTCTAATATACTTAACACCTTTTCAATGAACATATATACCCACATAACCTTACAATGGTAATCAGACGATGTTTCATTAAATGCAACTGGATTGGTGAAATCAATGATGGTTAAACGTGTCTAAAAGTATTATTTGGCATGCCCAATTTGTGTATTTAGGAATCACATTTTAATGGAGTTTTTAATGAAAGTTCGGGAGGAATGAAGGCAGCCGCGCTCATTCGACACAGCTGCTGCAATTCTCACTAATCCTGACGTAAGCAACCGGTCTCCATAAATATCAAACGTCACCCTCTCCTCTTCCTCCTTCGTTTTCTGCATCCCTCCTCCACCCCCTCTCCACCTTTGCAGCTACCCAATTGGTCACATGGGGGTCCTATCCTCCCCGTCCAACGGCCGGGAGGTTGGCCCTCAGCCAAGCGGGTTACGCCAAATCTCAACATCACAATAAACAATTCTAATTTCTCCCAAGCTTTCGGCTGCTTCATTCCTCGTGAAAATATTTTACAGGCTTTCAATTTTACACCATGAAGTCTCAACAGTAAATTTTATATGATCTGTATTATGAGGTCTTCTTTTTCACTGTATCCAAAGTTAACAGGAGTAAAACATATAATATGAAACCATATCAAGAACTAAAGAGGTTTATCCATGTATCGTGTAAAGTGAAGCATTAAAAAAAAACTGCTGCACTTACCGGAACAGATACAGCTGTGACTAAGGAGGAGTTGAAAGTAGGGTCACTTCTTAGTTCCTGATAGACCACCCTGTACTGTGCAATAATGCCATTAGGAGATGCAGGCTTTGTCCACTGGACCAGTACAGAGTAGGCACTAGTGGGCTGAACTATCGGAGTGGCCAGTTCCTCAGGCTCTGCCTCTAGGGTTTGTGTGGAAGACCACAGGCTGTCCACGAACCCCTGGCTGTTGTGAGCTCTGACTCGGTATTCATATTTGGTATAGGGCCGGAGGATATCAGAGGCATCAATGAACTCCAGAGCACCCTCTAACCAGATAAAGACAAGGAGCTCCTCTTGAGTGCCAACAGGTCGCCTACAAAAAATAAGCAACAAAGGTCATATGGGAAGGTTTATATAGACCTAGAAAAACACGTGCTTGTCAATTATTTCCTATTTTGTTTTAGGAAATAATATTTGACATTTTGCAGATATGCAAGTGAGTTTCACTTCAAAAGCTACGTGCCTGGGGTTTCGTAAAGCAAAAAAATGCTATTTTCACATTTTTCTACTGAGTGCAAACAACTGTGGAAAAGATTGTCACAAATACAACTTTTTATAAAAAGAAAATTTGTATTTTGTTGAGAAATGACAAGAGTTTGAAGTCACATTTCTTTTCCAATATGGGCCCAGCATTAAAACCATATCATGTCTAATTTGGGAGTCATTTTCCCTCTAAGGCAAAAAGAATGTTTACACATTTAAGGCTGTAATCTTTTGTATTCAGTAGAGCTATTGTACAATGCAAATTACATAAGTAGTATTGCTCATTCAACAGACAAGGTCTTATAAGTTAGTTATGTGGTATCATTCATAATTATTAGTTAATAATACAAAAGGAAACATGAATGGGTGAATATTATGATTAGAAATCAAGGGCAATGACATTGACAGATCAGGGCTATGCTACAACAGCACAAAATTGTGTGTGCTTTTAATTTGCATATTCATAAAACATTCAAAACAACAACACAGATTGCATTATTTTGAAAAAGGTGTTATAATGTTAAAATACATCAAAAGCACAATCTGATATTCTCACATTTATTTTCTGCTGTGGGAAAAGGCTGATGAATTGGCATATCTTTTACACGTCTAACACAAATGTCAGTAAAAGTCCTGTTGAATGGAAATACACCAGCTATGTAACCCTTAACTATTTTAACAAATAAAAAAGAAGTAGCTAACAAGGGTGGCTGATTAAAGGATTTTCAAAATATCCCCCCTTTAAACATGGCACATCACAGGAATGCATCTTTTACAAAACAGTTATATGTATAATGCAGTTCCCTTCATTTTCCTTAATTTCCAATAAAACGTGTTCACTTTCTAGTTAAATTAAAATTCATTGAGCAATAAAGGCTGAATTATAAACACACAACAAAGAAGATTGCCGACATCAACTGAGAGCAGGGTAGTTTGGACAAGTGTGTTTTTGCAAGCCTCGTTAATTCTCTGCATTACAACTGGCTTCCATGCTGGTGTACAAAATGACATTCAGCCTCTGGTAATGTGCTTCCTGCATGCTCCATCATACTTCTGTTAATTTTCTTTCCATGAGAGAGGGAGAAATGTACGATGTGAGAGCAACTAAAACAACATAATCCTCTAGGCAGAATGAGAACAAAAATAAACAAAGCACAGCAGGATGTATTTCTACATACTGTGCAGTAAACTACAGTAAACAATTCAAACTACCACCCACTCCTTATAATAGTCAATAGACTTAAAAGGAGAAGATTCTGTTCAACAAAATAAATGTTTAAAACAAATAAAAAAGTGGGGCTACAGACATAAGTAAAACAGAGACAATTCAGAAAAGTAGAGTGTCTAAAAAATGACACAAAGGTAGAAAAGTATTTTAATAATCCTATAGATCATCTTAAACAACTGCTCAACAAAAATCTAATTTGGAGATGCCAAAAATGCTAACTTTAGACAGGACGTGTATTTCCTTTCTTTCTTACAATTTTTATTTGACTAGGTTTTTTAGAAACGTTTTCATGTGCTCCACTCAAATGAAATTACTGAAATTATATAAAATTACAGTGTCATTTATGATATGGCCATAACAATAAATAAGAAAATACATGCAGTTGTCTTAATCTACAGATAATCAATTATTTCCTGACAGATGGAAAAATTCTGAAAATATTAAGTGTTTAGTCCCAGATTTTTCCATAATAATAAAAAGGTTAATGTAGATTCAGTTTACGTTGAACAAAACAATAGCTTTTCAGCAAGAATGCATAGATCAATTAGCACTCTGTATTCTAAAATACATACACTACATATCAGAAGTATCTCCAAGTAGAGAATCAGAGTTGTGCTGTGTAGAGGTTGTGTATGGTATTGAAGGGTACATAAAAGCAACTAGAAACCTGTTACTGCGCAGACACTATTTTATTTAAATACACTTCAACAATAGTATTACACATGGCTGTTTAAGCTTATAAAATAATACATTGTTCATAAACATACTATATAGTATTATATATATGTAAATATAAATTAATCATGAGGATTAATATTAATTATGTGCTCTAGGTAAGATATAGATTATATGTGTATGCATGACAGGTTGGTGAGATGGGTCTGGTGGGGATATAATGTCATATGGAAAGTGTATTTAAAAACTGAGAACAGAAGGCACTTCTTTATACAAATGGCCATGGGAGTTTAGAGCAAGCAATTCAGCAATTCGGCCATGTTATTGAAGCAAATAGCCTGGCTTCTCTGAAGAAACAGCTGGATGAAGATATAACCTGAATGCATCTGTAACCACTAGGAATAAAAGTAACTCTTGGGAACAAACGTTAATATTAGAGAGTGGCTCCTCACGTGAAAAACTGGGAAAAACATACTGTATAACAAAAATAATTCAATGTTTCTCGGTTTGTTTTCTTGAGGGTTTCTGCAAACCTCTTCTAGAGTTAAGTTCAGAAAGTTGATGTAAGGAGCCATAACTTAATCTTTCCTCCTTTTCTCGTTTATCTAGAAGTGTTATAACACTTGAGGAAACAGGAAAGGAAGAAAATTGAAAAAATAATGTCTGAAACAAGGACATCCAAATCCTTGAATCTTTTGCAAAATGGAAAAAAATACAAAAACTCTCATGAAAGTCCAGTGGAGTGAATAAAAAGGTTCATTCCCCAACCTAGTTTGGTTTTTAGGATGTCACATTTGACTTTATCTCTTCACCCAAGCATTTCCTTTTAATAACCTCGTTATTGCCTCCTAACAATATGCCTCCTGTTTTGTTGACTTTTGTTGATCTTTTAAAGAGAAGTCCATTCTCCCACAACCATGGCATCCAAATAATTACAAGCTGTTCTTCTATTTTTCTACCTAACATTATGTACTGGCTCTACTGTATATATCTACACAAACATACACTTGTATTTTTTTGTAACATTACTGTTACAGTTGAGGTATTTACTAAATAAAGTGAAACAACACTATATATATAAATATATAGTAAATATATAAATATAGAATACAATTGTGTCAACTGATATACTTTTAAAAATGAAGGTTGGAAAAATATACAACATTTTGTATACAATTACATTAGTTATTTTTCATAACAATTGTTACAGCTGCTTTATTGTATATCTACTAAAATCTACTGTATAATTTTACAAATGTTACTGTGTTTTCTACTACTTACATGAGTGAAATCATAACCAACCAAGAGTTATGTTTGTTGAAAGTATTACCTGCACTGGTTTATTTCAATGTTACTGGTGCTCAGATGTGGCCACAACAGCAAGGACACACTTAATATCTGTATAATTCTAGTATTGCTCACTTTGCACTGATGCTGAAGCTTACACACAATCAAAGCACATGACAGCATATGTTTCTATGTGGGAATCCTGAATTCATCATACCTATTAAACAGTGTACATGTGATGAATGGTGGAGGATAATTTTATTTAATGGGGTACACCACCATCCATGTGTGTACAATAAGTGTAGGTGCACAGGTGTATACTGATGATTATAGCAGAGAACAAAATTGTAAATGAGTGTCAACAATTCAACAATCCCGCTTCCCCTTGCTGTAGGACCTTCATACTCTTAGGGGTGGGAAAATTTAAATTTTTCTATATTTCATAAACTCTTGATACTATGATATTGTAATCTGAACAATATAGTAATTTGTACAATATAATAATATTAAATAATAATACATAAATATTTTAAATATTTTCAAAGCATCTGGATAATGGTTGAAATAACTTCAAAATAAAAATAAGCATGACATATTTGCTTCATTTTACAAATAAATATATACAGTATTTTGTAAATATGCAAAAATTAAATACAATTTTAAGATGTTTACTGAGTTATTATGCTACATTTTTCAGTGGGATACAAAGAATAACACTCATTCAAACTTCATACTATAAAATGTTTGATTAAATTTGTATTACAAAAATATGACACTGGCTATTCCAATAGCACTGCAAATTGTTCAAACTGAAGTTATACATATTTAATTGAATTTATCAATGTCATTCTCCTGATCTACAATTAAATCCATGCAGGTTCCTTCTGAATTCTATAGATTCTGAAGATATGCTAATGATATTTTTTCAGGAATTTACTGGGCTTAGTCTGCTCTGACCTTGCATATATATGACATCGGTCATGAAGTAGTGCCCTTGACCAAACACAGTCCTGATGTTAAGAAAATCAAGCATCAAAGATTAACCTGCAAGAATCTTGCAATTATCTTTTACCAGAACTGTTCCTGAAATATCAGCAAATGCTGTGCTAAAAAAGATTAATAAAAAGGTAAGGTGTATATACTGTACATATTACAATAAACGTCTATTTTAAATGTATACATTAATGTGGATAAAAAATATTAAATTAAGAAGACAATGAAGGTTTTGTTCAGGTGTAGCAAAAAATTACCTCAATTCCCACCTCTTATTCTTTGTAACAAAATTATTCCTCTCTATATTAATACAATCTTTTTAACAAGCCACCAAAAAAATTAAAATTGCTGTTGTCATGTGAATACCTTTTTAGCTTTAGCAGAAATAGGTGCCAAGTGATACATGTCTGCTAGGAGAGTGTAACAATTGTATCATGGGCCCCAGTGCACCATTTTCATTTCACTTTAAATAAAAAACAAAATGCGTCTGTGTCAGTCAGCAATATACCAGTATACTCTAAGGCATCAAACAGGCTACCATTATGATTGTGATGTGATTGTGTCACGTTGGTCTAAGCTTTATTGCTTTTGAGTCGGCAAGGCATTATGGCATTCTGTTTCATATTACTCTTTATATCATGTTTGAGTGTGCTTAGAATAATCAAGTCGCAGTGAGCCACGTCAAGTTCCAGTTATAGCTTGTATTTTGATCCCTTTAATGCTGTTTTCCCTATATATCTGCTGGCATAATTTAGACAAACTGGTCTACAAATGTATAGTATATGCAGTCACTCAATACCACAGCTCTAAGCATAGCATTTTATAACAACCAGCTTGTAGTCTAAACATAATTTGGAAATACTGTATTATATGGGAATTCATAATCATTTTAAGATGCTCATGCATATTAAATATCATCTACCTAAGCAAACGTTATACATTCTAAGTAAAGGGGCTAATTATAGAAAACATATTTTGTTTTCTTCTATTATTCAGTTTAGGAAATAATTTAGATGACAAAATGACTCCAGCACTCTGCTCTTGTGCATCAACTTTCCTTATCGGTAGATGGCAGTAGACTTTACATTTATTCAGTAAAAGTGAATTTGCAGACGAAAAAAAAAACATGAGAACATGAGAGGAAAGGAGGAAACAAGCTGCAGTTCTGGTGTTAGAAGGGTAATTCCAGAATGATATTACATGTTTGGGCACATTTGTAGGTGCCCGAGTTATCGCCAGAAATGCCCTAAATGAACTACACATTTGGAATCGTATGACAGTACCACAAATCTCATAGGATTTTAATGCAATCCTTAAGGATTTCAGAAGTATTAAATTGAGTATTAAATAGTATGTTAAATACAGTACTACATTTCATATTGAATAAAACAATTTGAAATACTGAAATGAGTAAACAAAGGTTTATTAAGTGAGAGGCTTGCAGAAATCCATGAATGAGTAAAGGAATGTAAATGACTTTTCTTTTTATGTTGTTATCAAGGATATTGTAAACTACAGAAAAGGTGAATAAAATCACCAACTGTGTATAACTGACCCTTTGTCTTCAGGGTACTGTGGAAAGTTGCAGTTTGAGGTATTCTAAATTTGTGATCTTTTGCTATGATGAGAGAAGCTTGCTGGCAGGATATCAGGACCAGTATGGAGAAGCTTGCCCTGATGGAAGATTGGGCCTGGCTTATTTTGACTTCTTGTGACTGCTGTCTAAATGTGAGCTACCCTGAGTGAAGCAGCATGCTGGAGCCCTTAGACTGAGTGTGGGCTCTCAGTACCGAGAGCTCTCTGTCCTACCTCAGTGACTATATGTCCTTGGGGTCCCTGGTGGTGCAGCACATGATGAGCTACTGTACTTATGAACATTCATCACAACTCTTTCTCAGGTTTTATTCCACAGCAAAGGCGGCAATAGAAACAATGGATCCACAAGTGTGTTAGTGTAACTGCGTATGTGTGCCAATCTATTTTTTAACCAGGAATATTACAATAGCAAAAGTCTGTATTTCCATTCTGAATCAACTAATCTGTTGAATTCTGAATCAATGTTTCAAAACAATTTTACAAAAAAAAGGCTGCATAAATATCAAAAGTATCTTGTTTACATAATCTTACATACAGTACATTAGCTTAGATACAGTACATTCTAATAAATTAGAATATACTTAATAATAGCCTTTAGTCTAAATGGTTAGGCACTACACTTGTATCATACTTTTTTGCTATTGACACCAAGTATCATAACAAGCACATTACCTAGTGATCCATATGATACAAAGACACACAGGCCACCACAATATTAGTTTACGTAAGTTTTTTTTACTACAGTAAAAATCCAGACATGAAATATTAAAAGCTTTCTATTTAACTTTGTTTTATTGTAACACTACATTCTATTTATTGTGGCTCCTCATAATGTGCATGGTATTTTTACTTCAGTGGAACAGATTGGATTAAATATATGCATTTGGCAACCATAAACTGTTTTTTTTCTGTGTAGCTTAATTGCAATTACCTGTGATTTTATGATTTGCCAATCTATAAAATATAACTGTGTTATTTACTTGGTTGGACCATTATTTATGCACGTGCTGCCTGTTTAAAATCTTAGAGGCCCCAAAGTTCTCTTGTAGTAAATGTACTGTAGATGGCAGCCAGCTTAATCAGCAGAGCCATGGACTTCTCTATCGGCCTTAAGCTATCAATGCTTCACTGTCTGTTTGCAAGGAAACGACACTTCACTGATTTGAATGGTCTTTAACTCCAGGCTACAGATAAAAAAGGGTGATACATAGTTTTACAGCAGATATTAATAGCAGTAGCAGTAGTAATCAAATTATTCATAATCTGTACTGTCAGCATAAAGAGTGAACAAAGAGCCAGCTTACACTTGCCTGATCGGGGAAGTGTGTACTTTTACCTGTGGATGAGGTAGGCTGTGATGACTCCATTGGGTTTTCTTGGTGGCTGCCATTTCACCTCGATAACAGAGGAACCGGACGCTGTTACAATGGGTACATCTTGATCTTCTGGAGAGGCTTCAGATGTTCTTACATGGGCTTTTCTACCAACACCACATCCATCTGAAAAGACAAATAATTTAAAGGAATTTCTGATATTAATTACAAAATATTTCATTCATTGAAAAAAATATATCATCTGAGCCTGAGCTGAGCTGTACAGTTTTAGCAAACGGAGAAATATATATTTTTTATAAATCACAGAAAACCTAACAACATGGTCTGTAAGACATATTGTGAGGTGACCAGTGATTTCAGTGATTTCTATTGTTCTAATATAATGAAATACAGAAGGAAATATATTGTGGGACAAACACAAATCATGTAATAGTACATGTTGTAAATCAATAAAAACTGAAGCATCAAGGTAGGATCCAAGCAACAAAATATATTTTCCTGCAAATATGGATAGGTGCAGCATTTTAGATGTGTTCTCTGAGGGAATCCTTTTAAGAATCTTCATTGAATATGTATTATATCATGATGACCTAAACATCTTATCAGTTCCATCCAAAAATACGTTTTTCTGTTCTTCATATTTTGAGAAAATTGCACCACTACTAAGGAGTAGGTTAGAGTTGTAGAATAGTTGGATTGGTTGAACACTGTTATTCTTTCTGAATGAATATACAATAAAATTGTATTCAAAGGAATTAAGATGGAATGTCTGATATTATATTTTAATCTACCTTTTTCTTTTGTGCACTATAGCTTTTCAATTCAGCTTAATTACAGCAATTTGGAATATGATAAAAATGTTAAAAATTAGAGATGAACGATTATACAGTGTGTCTACATCAGGCAGCCTGGACATAATGTATAATATCTAAAATATGTGTCCAACACTCAGTATCTATAGTGTAAGTGTATAATATAAGTGATCAAAACTAAGCCAGACTTATGTTTTTTGGCTATTTTTTAAGTAAAATTGCGTTATACTGCATATTGTTTTCATTTTCAGTAATAAATAATTAATATGTTTTCATATACTGTACATATACATACAGAGAGATATAAATCTACAGTGTACTGTATATATGCATCAATCAATATATAAGTTTGACTCCTGAAAATCCTGCATAAATTTACCTGTATTTGAATAGAAACATTTCAACTTCGTTTTAAATAAACTTTCTGTAATACAATAGGTACTCTATTTTTTTAATGGTATATTAAAAGGGTTAGTTAGTATCTGAACTATGAACAAATATTTTCAAACTTAAGATTCTGTTTCTATTGACAGGGTCATGCTTTGCAAATCCTATGTAACATGCAGTTAAGGACTTTTGGCCTTATGGTTAGATTTTTCTCTGATACTACCTGTCTAGTTAAAAACCAATATTTTAAGTTGAAACAAAAGAATGTGCGAACACTTGGCTTACCTGTCTGGCAAGCCTGGATACGTATTTCATATTCTGTGAATGGACAGAGTCCTTCAGCTAACAGGAACTGGTCTTGCCCTGCTGCTCTGATCAATGCTTGGTCAGTTCCAATGTTAAAAAGAACATTGTACTGTATTGGTATGCTGCTGTTATATTTACCTGTGCAGAAAAACACATGGAAAAAACTGTAGGTAATAAGTTATATAACACTGATTTTTTTGTTTTAAATTTCTGTAATAAAAGTGACAATCATAACAAAAGATCTAAATGTCACAAAATAATACTTAAGCACAGCTAAATAATAATAGAAATTGGTAATCCATAAATTAAATTAGATTTAATCTAAGCTTTTTTTATTTTCCTTACACTCTTATATTGGTGATAGAATAAATGTCTCAGTTCAGCCTTCATCTTCAGTAGAATGATTTACATATTAAATCAGGACACATCTTCACCTAAACCTTATCCACAGTTATGATGCAATCACCATTGTAGTGGAGCTATTCCAGATTGGGTAGATTGATGAGGAAGAGATCATTCTTCTGCTGTTCGTGGAATGGGATATTTAGCATAGATAGTAAATTTACCAGTATGTCTTTGGGAAGCAGAAGAAAACCAGAATATCTTGAGAAAATGCATGCACACATGTAAATTCCATACAGAAGGTAGCACTGCCTGAGAGGCTTCAGTGTTAACTGCCATGTTAGTGTGTCACACCACCTAGGTGCTAAACTAGGACTGTTTCTTTTGAATTCATGTATAATCTTTAGTCTAATCACAACTGGGCCATAATGAAAAGAAGAATGAAATGACTCCTCGGCTGGACACACATTTTCTAAATATATCAAATAAAAACATATTAATATTTTGAAATAAGCCTTACGAAGCTTGTTTATTAGGACATTTAATTCAATCTGAAGAACATATAATGTGAAGTTTGACTGTGATTACTTACAATTTGTTTTTCTTTTTTAAAAGAATAACATTATTTTTCATATCTGAAAAGCTTTCTTATCTGCATTGATATCAAATAGCTTTTACTGAATACAGGTAAATCCCTGCAGTTATAATCCTTTCTTTCACTTTAGTTTTTTAACAATGTAAGATCAATCATAATTATAACTTTCCAGACAGGCTTCTGTTGCTTTACTTTTTGAACTGGTTTTAAAAGTAAAAATGAGATACGCTAACAGAGGCAAGAACACACAATGGAGAGCAGTTGCCATAATAAAATCAGCTGGTTTGTCATTCACTTTAAAACACCTAAGCTTTATTCTTGTTCTAGGCCACTTGGCCTTTACCACTGTTGCCACATGGGAAGTTGTGTGCTTTCATTAGCCCACCACTGATCCGCGCGTAGAGCAGAGGCACAGGCCTCATAAAAAGAAAGTGAAGCAATTTATTCTAACTGCACATGGCAGTATTGTTATTTAGTGGCTGAGTTACACACAACACCCTGACAGGCTGCCATAACACATTTCCAGGTTTCGCAAAGGAATAGGGTTTTTGGTTTGTTAATATTCCCATCACTGGTCTGTTTCATAATTTACAACAACTGGAGGCTGATAGGTTATTTAACATTTATGAAGGCGAGATGTATTCAGAATGGGCTGATTATCTTTACAAATGAAAAAGTTAAATTATTCAACTTCCTTCATTGCTATATCCCTGAGCAGATGTAGTCCTTTGCTGAGATACAAAACCCCCATCCAAATGATACAGTTCTTTGATCACGGTGATCTGCCAAAAAGTTCAATCGTACAGGTTCTTAAGTTCTATTATTTACAACTAATCACTGACTTTGGAGTTTGCCATATTCAACTTGAAGAAGATTCTAATCAGAAATAATAGCACACAGAAAAGAAATAAGAAAAGACACCCTTTCATATCTGATTCATCAGCTGCAGGTGTGTGTTTAAACTTCCAGCAAACAGGCAACCCCACATATTCAAGCTTTAGGTGTCAGTGTCTCAGATTCAGTGCTGACTGCATTTTAAAAAATAGACAGGACAAGAGGGAGTTTTTGGAAAAAGATTATGTAATTTTGTTACTTCTCAGTCTGTTGTCAGGAGTAAAGTTGTTGTCCACAGCTCCCTACTGACATTTCTTCTCTTTTTTATCTATACATTTTTCCATATTGGGCTTTATGTTTATGTTTAGCTTCACTCATGCTGAGAAGCTGGATCATGCATTGATTTCTTTTCTGTACTGTTATATACAGTACCTGTGATACATATGAAAACAACGCCACTGGATGTTCTTGTGCTCAGTCAATGAATGGCATAGTTGGAATATGAACTAGCTACCTCTAAGCAACAAGTATTAACTGCACCCAAAGCAGAATTTTATGCAAGGATTCACCGTACAGCTATTTGTTTAAATAACCTGGACATAAAAACACTTACTCAACAGTCTGTTTCACAAAACAAAAACTGTAAGGTAGTGTAAGGTCCATAACACAGCTTTAATTCTGATATAATCTACTAGTATTATGATCATATGATGAGTATTATGAGTATGGTGATTACAGCAGCCCTTTTTATCTGCAGTAAAGACTGTTTGATACTTTAAGTAGTTTAAGTATTGTATGACTAACAGGGCCTAAGGATAAAAACAGTTAACCTCTCATTAATATATCTGGACATTCTGGTTTGGAAAAGTACAATTCTTACCACAGGCAACACCTTGTAGATGTTGTCTCAGAATTCCACTCAACTAATGAAAGCTGCTGCACAATATATACTTGTTACCCTCTTGATGCAAGACAAATACAATTGTACACTACAGAGTGATCTAAGTATTCTTCAATATACTAACTGAGATACTAAAAGAAAGACTGTCCTGGAGTCTTCTGTTTTGGGCCTCTGCAATGAATATTTCAAAGACAGGAAGGTATTGGACTGAGTGCATCTAGAATCTTAATGGGCACTGTAAATAATAATTTAAACAAGTTTTGTCTGTACTACTGCTTTAAGGGTGTTGCTAGTGATATGGTTATATGTGGGTTATAGAGGACATGTGTGTTCCTGCTCCCCCAGCAGTCTGGCTGTTAATGCACTGCTGCTGTCACTAGCAATAAAAATGTTAATTGATGTTAACGACCTATTGATAGTTTAAAGAAGAAAAAATAAGAAATAGCTGAACACACATACTGTATGCAATTAGACAATGCCTTTTATTAAGACAAAAAAAAAGCAATGGACAGCCCACGGTGTTATGGATGCTATACTCATTCTGCCCTACAATTTATTACCTGCTTCTATAGTCAGGCAAACATAAACCTAAGGTCAATGGCTAGATGGGAGAAAAGCACTGCATTCTGTCAGTGCATCTGTGCTTGCATCTGAAACCCATTCCCCTTAAATCACACTTAGGTTAGGAAAGCAGTCACTCAGGTTTGAATGCTAATTGATTCCAGCAGCCATGTACGTCACTCTTCTGTGATGCATGTACAGTTTGACCATGTTCAGCTCCTTTTGAATTACACAAAACGGCACTCATAAATTCCAAAGCGTGGAGTTTTCAAGCGGAATCTAAATAAATCACTTTGGCTGATTACTAAAGAGAGATCCTGTTTAGTACATTAGATGTAAACAGTACCTGGGGGTGTCCAGGCGACAAAGACTGAGCGAGGTCCGATAACGGTGACATTATATGGATCTGGAATCCTCTCAGGAGATGACACAGGGGTCTGAATCACATATTTGTCACTCACGTTACTCCCTCCCCCTGTGCTCGCTTCCAGCTGGTACACATACCTAGCAGCATTGAAACAACAAGTTAAAAGATGGACTTCAAAACCAGGAGCCAGTTTAACCCAAACAGAAGAGCCTTTGAACCACACTTTTGAGTTGATACTGTGGTAACTTAACACTTTCAAGTAATCTACTTTTAGACCATTTTGTAATCATTAAAAATATGACTTTTACCACTGGAAAGAGTTGGCGTATATTTTTTTTTGTTATACTAAACAAATAAGCAGTATTTAATATGCAGAATTTTACCAAACAACCATACCAACCATATGAAATGCATTAGTGCTATTATGCCTCCCCTTTTCTTGCCGTGTTGTTGTTATGCAAAAAAAGTTTTTCATTGAACGTGGAGATTTTAAATTAGATTGTTATTAATAGCAAAAACATTAAACATGTTATTATTATTAACAAATATTTTTGAATATTTAGAATATTTTAAAATCATAACCAAATAATTGTATATAAGGTTTGTATAATTTAATTTAATATAAAATAATATACTGTAATAATATACTGTTAATATACTGTAGATTTATAAAATATCTTACTTTTAATTTTCTCTCGGGTAATACTCATTTTTTCTGTCAGTGTTGCAAAGGGGAATCAGGTGAAAAACATCATACACTATATTTGTATGAAAGCTGTATTTAAAAAAATAACAAAGAACTTAATGGATACTTCTAAACATTACACTGTAAGGTTAAATGTTACATCAGAATACGTACAGTACATCTGCAGTTTTTATAGTTAAAATAAATCATTTTGTAAAAAAAAACTCTTTGTTTGCTGATTGTCAGTATTGTAATGCATTTCTATAAAATGTACAGCAGCACTAAAATTATTCTAATGGAGATATTCCACAGAAATATTTAAAAGTATTTAAGTGTATATTTACATATAAATGGATTTAGATCAATGTTAGGTAGATTATAAAAATGCTTTGAGAAGTCCACTTTGGCACAAAATTGACTGCACAAGATAGATTTTCCTTTTAAACGCTGTCATTTATTGGAGTAAAGGTCCACATTAGCGATGTAAGTAGGACATGTTTAATATTAAAAGCTTTTCCTTTTTTCATAAATGCCATATGTGAATTCATTAATATTTTTAAATTACCTATGTAATCATGTATTGGAAATGTCCAATATGCAATTATATATTGGATTCTCTAGTTGCACTCTAGATAATAAAAAGGATAAAAAAGGCTAGATGTAACTACAGATATTTTAATTATATTATTGAAGGTCTTATTCTAGAAAACCTTATCAACCAAAATGCTCATAACACAGAGGAAAATTCAAAACCTACAGAGCCTGCTTCACTTTTTGCCAGTGCCCGTTTTAACGAAAATAAACAAATCTGTTATATCAAAGGATGCAGCACATTAAAAGCGCTTCCTCAGGGGATAAAGGTTAATATTTCAGTCATCACAAGGATTTTATACAATGGCGAGGTAAGTGACAGCTAATCAGCATTGTCATAAATAATCAATGAGAAGCAGCGGATCATGCAGAATTCTGCCCTTGTTTAACTGTTTCGTACATCAGAATATATGGTTTTTTATAATGAGGCCACTGTTCTCGACATGTTGTCTCATGCCTTTGTAATCCTAAGAACAAAGACCAAATGTGCAAAAAAGGGGTCTGTGAGGGAATTCCTTTTGGCAAGCTATCTAGAATTACAGTAAATTAAACGTCAAACATCTCCTGCTACTAATATAACACAAATGAAAGTAGTGCTCCTGAGGGCATTGTTCCATACAAGTCTTTACTCATGGTACAATGCAAGCCTTAAGGGCTGGAGGTTGCTGGTTCTAATCCCGACTTTACCATTTTCCAGCCATTGCCAAGACCTCCTAATGGGTAATGTGCTGCCTATTGTCAGGGATCCCTGTTCCTGCCCATGCACTAGCAGAACAAACATTCATCAGCAGGGCTATGTGTTTTTGGTTTTTGCTTTCCTTACATAAATGTGCCTTATAAGCAGTTTTAGCCAGTGGGTTTCTTAAAATGAACACCAGCTAAGTTAAATTATTTTCACTCCATGAGCTGAATGAAACCTTTTTTAGTAAAAAAGGACCCAAAGGGAAAAATTACTCAATCTCAAATCCTAAATATAATAAATATCATCAGAGGAATAGCTTTTTGTGCAGTTTCTTACATTTTACCAAACCTCGTATAATTTTAACTTTAGTGCTTGGGAGATCTCCACATAGGTTTTATGACTGATGAAACACAGACTACAAACTCTGTAAATATCCTGGATTAAGTCACAAAACCTAAAGAATGTAAATGCTTAATAATTCATATTAATGTTGGAGGCAGTTAAAAAGCAAGATAAAACACAAAAATCAAGAAGGACATTGTCCACATTTAGGTTGACAGCTTTTTCCGATCTTTCCAGAATTGAGGAATTAAAAGAGCCTTGGACATGTATGGGAATGGTTGGACATCCCTGACCAGTGTGGGCTTACATTGATAAATGGGCATGAATTACAGTATAAGTAGATTTTTCAGTTAAAATAAAATGAGGAAAAATAATTGGTTTAAAAAAAAATTAATTAAACGATTATGGCATTTAAAAAAATAGGATTCCCAGTGCAGTACGCACGCCTTTTAAATATCTAAGGACCTACAGTAAATGTGATCTGTTAATGTTTTATGTACGAAAGACAAATCTCAAAAGTATGATAAAGTCTTATTTGCTTCCTCAGAGTTTCAGTATGAAACTGGAAAAAAAATCTTTTTTTTCTGTTTTTTGGAATCATTTAGAAAAGAAGTCTTCAGAAACTGATGCTGTGTGATGACTTCTTTTAAAGAAAAGTTTTTAATGATTTTGTATCAGCAAGGTTTACCCTGTGCACAGGAAAGTCAAAGAATTTCTGAAGACACGCACAGGATTAAGTGTCATCAATACTCATCTCTTAATAGCCTGTTAAAGATTTGTGAAAGGCAGAACCTGGTGTTGGGCTGAAGGCCAGAGTCTGTGTAGTTCAGGTTTCCTTTGTCGCCAGAGAAAATGGGCATGCCATCGCGAATCAGTCGGTACTGAGATACAATCCCATTGGGCTCCAGTGGCTCACTCCAGTACAGCTCCACGGTGACAGAACTTACAATCACATGCCGTGGCCTTGCCCACACACCTAAATGTTAGAAGCCAAAAAACGCAGGATTGAGATATGCACTAAAAGAAAAGCCAAGTCTTTAGTCTCTCAAATGCACAAGTTCTGATTTTATTGCTTTTTTGTGAAAAAGAAAATTGTTGCAAAACCATTTTAACCTTAATGTCATACCTAAACTTTACGCATCAAAGTATTTCTTTAAGTTATGAATATGAAGTTATTTTAAGAATATGAAGCACGTTTACAATAAAAATGATTATGCTTTATGAATCAGGTGGTACTGGCTTCAATTTATAAGTCAAGGACTGATCTATACCTACTGTAAGTGAATTTTCTAAACCTGCACAAGACTCACAGGAGAAAAGAGTTTAGATCATTATATTTCCTTTTTCTTTTTCTCAGAATGACAGATAACACCATGTTATTATCATGATCTATTGTTGGTTCCATACTATTCCTCTTCTACATGTTGTTCAGGACACAATGACCATTAAAAAGATCTGTCACTACTAAGCAGAACACAGGTGGTTTCACAAATATAGACTATAGATTGAAAATATTTTCATTATGCCATTAATAGATTACTGTTCTTAATTGAATGCATTAAAAATAAAAAAATAAAGTCAGTGCAGTATTAGTTGTTTAAATGAATACAGCAAAATCCTTATGCTCATATGATATCACATAGATCTCTGCAGTACCAAAACATGTATGCCAGTATACTTTTATAGAAGAGTTTTCATATGACACAATATGTGATGTTGCATAAATTCATTTTTAAAAAGCAGTCTGAAAATAAGCAGAATTAGAATTGAATTAGATAATTCAGGAATAATTTAAGTAAAATAATGTTTTTTAATGATAAAATAAAAAAGCAGAGCAGAATCAAGAATGATATGTGCATAGACATATCTATGTAATAATTTTAATATCTCCAAATCTTAAAAGACTGATCTAGAAATAACTATAATTTTGCACTTTACATAGTTTGTTTTTAATCTGTTCTTAATCATTCTTGCAGCAGGTATTTCAGCTTATTCTATAGCTGGCTTTCTAGACAAAGTAATGGAACATGTAACATGAAGACATTTAAGCCTCACATCTGCCAAAGTCAATATTGAAAGAAAAGAGCCACAGTCTTTGCACTTCTGAAAAAAATAGTAACAGTGGCTAGTGGTGACAAGATCAAAATGACGAAGAGCACAGTACAGGCTAAGAGTAGATAAAGTGCTTCTAAATGGAAATTCTAAAATTATTCTTCACTTTGAGAAATCCTGTGTTTCGACTACTCATACCATAAATTCTGAAGAAAGTGCAAACTGAATGCTTCATGAAATGTACTACCTACAGTAATGCCTGGACATTTTATAACATCATTTTTAGACTGAATGCCATTACTTATATTGGGAGGCATTATTGTGGATATCTTAGGGTTGTCATTTTCACACAGAAAGGAAAGAAACACAATTTAAAAATTGTCTTAGAAAAATATTCAGGAGAATAAGGAAACAGGAAAACACCTTGTTTCTAGATTTAAAAATAAAAATGCAATTTTGAAAGACATTCATGAATAAGAAACTGGTTCCCTTAATGAAAATCTTTTGACATCTCATGAAAATATAATGCTGTTCAGATGGATCTAAAAAAAAAAACATAAAGAGTTTTAAAGGTTGATAGGGAAAATCAGAATTTTAATATTTAAAAGTCTTCATTACAATTGTTAGGATTCAGAGACCACTTAACCAGGAAAACCCCCCAAAAAACTTCAGTATGTATAAATTGGATTGAAAACAGTTTTTCAGTGAATGTGTTATTTTTAAAATATTATTTTATATACCAGATAAATGTTGTAATTTAGTCAGTGATGGGAAAAAAACAATTATTTGTTTTGTCTAGTTACAAATCTGTGTAATGTAACATTGTAACGTTGAAGCTTCTGGAATTAGTGAAATGATGCCTTACACTAAAGATGATTAATAAGAGTTGAAGATATATGTTTCACTAAAATTAATTAAAATGAATTGTGAGATGAATCTCCTTGTAAATCCATATACATTAGGATAAATCAAGAGATATTACAATACTATACATGTATACTTTTAGATTACTACAAAATCTGAAAGGACTTGGTCAGTCTTTTGTTTTGATTTATTATCCGCTTGTAGTAAATATTTCACATCTCCCAGCAAAGTTGCTTGAGTCAGATATTCCTGGAATTCTCCACAAAGTATTTTTTCTGCTATGTAGAAAAGAAATACTATTGCAATCACACAAAAGACGCTGTCAGTTTTCAATTACTCATTTTGCACTGTGTCTGTGAGAATACTGCTTGGCTTCTCAATAATAATAGCTATAATAATAGGAACTGGTAATTGTTATTCTTTTCCACACAGCAGTGTATATCACAGAAGGTTTTTTCTTTGTTCAAATGTGAAGTGGATAGAGACAATGCTTACCTTCAGGACCAGCTTGCAGAGTCCTGCCTATAGATGGCTGACTTGCACTGCATCCAGCTGAAGTGCAGGCAATTACCATGAAGCTGTAGTTAGTATGGGGCTTGAGACCTGCATTAATGCAGAAAGACAGCTCTTATCTTTTAAATCATGCATATTGTAAAGCACTAAAGGCCTTCTTTATCTTGATTTGAGCTAGTTAATCAAAAGCCATAACAAGCTCTACCCCTAAAAAATGATACCATGAAATCAATACATGATAAAAAAGAGCAGAGATGAACAATAATAGTAGTATAATTATCTATTGCAGAGTTTTCTCAGCAATCCATTTATTACCCCATTCATGAGTATGTATTTAATTGGAATAATAATGTATGTATGCTTGTAATTATAGCAATTTTATCATATACTTCATTGTTTCTGAAATTTATCCATTGAAATATTAGTATGATACCTGCATTTGTTTAATATGTGAACATGGTATACAAGAAACAGTATACTGTGTATGCATTCAGATACATATATACTTTATATACAAATATACCAACATGAATAGGATATAAACAGATAAATACAGTGTGATAGACATATGACTAAACACAGAATAATCCATAAAGAATGATCAACACCACTTATTTAAACTGGTTAAATTAAATTGTTTCATATTTTAACATATCAACAGTATTGCTATAAATAACAATGATCATAATTAACACACATAAAGCATATATATTCTGTAAAAGAAAGTACATTTTATCCAGAATATTCTAACCTACTTTACATAAAACCTAATTTCTGTGGTCCAAGCCTTATTTAAGATCTCTGGATCTCTGAAACAGAAATATTGATGTTGTATAGAAGCTTTCAAGCTTCATAAATGTACACACATTAAAATACATCTCCTACTTTTTTATATGGCATTATAAGTTTTCAAATTAGTCCTGTGGTGCTTTTCACAGTTGCTGCGGTACAGTATGTGCCCGATATAAATTTATTAGGTTATGAAAAATGCCACACTTTACCTTGTACCATGCAAAGTGCCTTCCTTTAGCAATGCAATCAAGAATGTATGAAGGGCATCTAAATCAGGAAACACTGATGGAAACTTTCAAAGGGATATTGAGAAATTTAGATATAGCTAAATTAATGTTTCAGTTGACTTTGAAACCTGTGTCTTCTTTTGTTTCAAATGATTACATGAACAATTATTTATATATAAGAAAATAAAAATATAAAATGTGAGCATTTTATCCCTGAAAGCTTTATTTAATATAGATAAATGTGTAGATAAAACAGCCTAGCTTTAAACTGAGACTTACTCATAGATTCATCATGAACCGACAACCAATTGGAAAATATTATGTGATTTATATTTTTACAGTGTCACTGGTTTTCAAAGATTTGTGCTCCAGACTTTTGTTTAAAAATACATATATAACGATTATGAGCAGAAAAAGAGGTACTCTGTCATGATCTTTAAACTCACTTTGAAATATTATGTTTTTGCAAAAATTGAGGTAACACAATGAGAAATTCTATACCAGCATGAGTTACCAATTTGATATTTTGGTTGATTCTGTTTTTAAATTGTAATATCTCATTGAAAAGAAAGTGGCAGTTTCACACACTGTAATACAACACTGTAGCCATATAATATACTCCACATAGTTCAATCTCTTCAATGGAACAAATCTTGGAATTGTTGGATTTGGAATATACATTTCTTTTGGCAGTACCACACACTTCAGACTTTAAATTATTAAAATCCCTTAAAGAACAAAACAAAAACTGAAGGGGGCACTCTTTGTCTGCTTATTGCAACTGCACCTTAAAATTATAAAAAAAATAAAATAAGTCTTACTCATTTTAGCATTCATCCCTTGAAGCATACATAGGTCCATTTGTACAGCAACCGTAACACAAAGTGAAACAATGCCATAACTGTCATCCAAATTGTTCTGTACAGGAGTGTGGAAGTGTTCAGTAATAAATGATATAAAAAGGTCTTTTATTGACAAGCTGCCATTTACTGTTTGCATTAGAGAATATGAGAAGTTGATGGCTGCTGCCCCAGGTCCCCAAAGGTATTCAACTCAAAGAGATAGCAGAAAATGCTTCAGTTTACTTAAAGCATTGATAACACTTCTAAATAATTAAGTGCGGACTTCCTGTCTTCAATTACTTAATGCTTTTTTTGTCTTAAGAGGATTATTAAGCGATTTGCGGATTCCACATGATGAGCATGCTCAAAGAGTACCCCAAAGCATTTTATGGGATCAGGTTTCCTCAAGATCACACGAAATTAAAAATGGGCAACGTGGTACCACTGCTCTCTGGATGTGCACACAGACATAACGTACAATATTATAGGCATCCTCCTCACAAACCCATGTCTTAAAATGAGCTGCCAGTATATCACAAGGGATTTCATAGGTACAATCAGAAAAATATAATAGAAAAAGCACCTGTGCTCATTAACTACAACACTCCAAAATTTAGGTGTAATAATCATAAAGAAATTAATGTTTTATTATAATAACATACGCATCGTATATAAAAAACAAAACGATACATGACCAACCATGTTAGTCAATGTTTTTGTGTGCTTTTGGTTCTCAGAAAACAAAATACTTTACTTCTGGCTGAATTAAGCTCCAGTTTTGCCTTAGCTACAGACCTATTCAATTTCCTTTCAATTGCTTTGTAGAAAGTTATAGAACTGTAAATAATGGAAATACTGCAGTTACATAGGTGCATATATTCAATACATATTACATAAACCCTTAAGAATATGTGCATTCTTAATATACATTATAATAGTAGTTACAGCAGAAGTAGAAACCAAATACCCCTTGATTTCCAGCCCCATTTGTTTGATAGATCTCCTTTTGAATGTACAGCATAGAAAAAAACATGATTAATTAAGTTTTATTTTGCCTTAAACCCCTTTAGCTAATTGTTAACATGGTGTGAACATGAGAATATTATTTTAAATAAAATCTCTTCTACCCTAGAAATAGACTCAAGTATTTTAAGTCTGGAACCCTTTAAAACAACAGGCTGTGACTAAGTCTTTGTTAAGGGTATTCAGACCTTTTTAAATTTAAAATGTTATAATTATTTTTCCTCCCTCTCAGTTTTCTTCCTGTCTTTCTTGATATTGATATTATTGAAGATAAAATTACAGCGTACTGGCTACTGTTCCCCGTTGATTAGTATCATATCTGATTTTTGTTAATTTGTTAAGTTCAAAGCTCTGTGCCATGATGGCAGTTTGATATTCATAGAATCACATTGAAAAAACTTAACAAGAAGTTTGAAAACTTTCCACCACCTCTATACAGCTGTGTACAGATCCAGTTCCAGCAGAAATGTTGAGAATGCTTTACAGAAAGTCTTGCATCCTATAAAAAAATGACTGGAATGACTTGTAATGATCAAGTAGTGATTAAAGCAAATGTTATTTTCACAGCAAACAAAACAGCAGTAGTATTTCAGAAGCTAAAGATTTTTTTAACTGGTGAAGGCCTTTAGCACAAGTTGAAAAAGATTTAAGATTAATTTGGCAAGCACATATGTCATTCTAAGAGGTTTATCACTAATGCATAACTGGTGACAGGATTGTTTGTATCTAAAGTAGCTGAGTAAGAATGAATTGTGGAGCAATGAATTGTGGAGGCTATTAGAATTTGGAACCAAAGAAATATCAATTATCAAAGAAATAAGCTGGCTGTAATTTAAAATAAAGAAGAAAAAAGCCTTATTCTTTATAATTAGCCTCAGAATTCCAAGAGAACACGTTTTTTCCATGGGAGAACCGTTATAGATTACAACTCGTAAAACATTTTTAAAAGACGACAAGGCTACTATTCACCAGCAGTTGAGTACAAAAAGGTGAAAAACACACTTGTGCTCCATCAGGAGATTATAATGAAGACAAGAGTATGGCATTCCTAATGAGAACCTTGTTTTAAGGAATAGAGGAGGCTTAAATGGCCAGTGAAATCTGTCTGTCTCCTCTCAATAGCTGCCACTTGACCCTTTTACTCTGCAGCTGATAGAGCCTTCCTCTGTGACATCACAAATGGAGCACTGGGTGCAGACAAATCATTCGGATAATTATATATGCTAGAATAAACTAATGAAAAGCTATTAGGTTTACTGCCTTCTGTCGTGTTTGTTTTATGGGAAGTATAAGCCATTTAGTGGTACTGGGTGACAAACTATCAGAAGGAAAAAGGGATTAAGAATCTGACATGAGGGTTTACTTGTTAGAAATAAGAAGAGTATGTTAAGATCATAGAAGGAAAAACATATGTACAATATAAATATGTATAATAATAGAAGCTTTTAATGTTTCTTGTATTTGTGAACTAATATTTCAACCAAAGGCCCATCCCAACAATAATTCAAGCCACATTTGCATATCACAGTTATAGCAGCTGTTTTTCATCAACAGATAAATTGACAGATGGATAGTGTCTTGTAAAAATTATTTATGGAACTTTAGGTGTCGTCTTTTAGCATTAGATTTCATAGTTTTCCAGAATATAGGCCGTGGAACGTTTTTATTTTAGCTTTCAAATTAAAAAATTTGCAAGTGGGAAATTAAATTATAAGTACAAATTTGGTGTACACTACAAGACATTTAATCTCTGCTCTTACAAAATGAATTATGGTATATTAAACATTAAGCATTGGCACACTAGAGCAATTATTTCAGCTCATACTTCATGAAAAACGCTCATTTTTTGTTCTTAACCCCCTCAAGGCTAGAGCAGCAGTTTAAAACTATTACTGATAATGACATTACCATTTATTTTGCTATTATTCATTAGGAGACAAAGGCCCTCAGTAAGTCTGCTCTCTCTCTTACCAATTGATCATACAGTTTCAGACTGAAATCTCAATACATGAGGAAATACAGTACATACTGTACACTTGGGTATCAGTTTATTTACCAGTGATTGAACTTCACATAAGAGTAAAATGAGCCAAGTTCTCTGTGTCTGAGATTTAGGGCTTCAGCAGCTGGATCACACTCAATCATTAACTCATTTTATATGAGATTGTTTTATTCATTTTCACTAATGCAGATGTAAAATATAATA